ATTTAGCACAGTCTATACTAGTGCGGTGGCGGAGCGGTTAGTGCGCTCGAAGGAGGGGTAGGGGGCTTTGTGTCTAAAAGTTTGATCTGTTGTTGATGTTAGAACATCACAGGGTAGGAAAGGTCATCACCGATCCAACTCATCCTCTTTATTTTTGCGTGGGGGAGGAAGGGGAGGGGGGTTGCTTTCTCTTTTGTCGGTATAATTATTACTATGCTTTTGTTTTTGTTCTATTTTGGGTTTTCCCCCCCTCTTGTTCTGTATTTTGGACTATGCGTTGTACATAGATACCTGGATACCTGGAGGTGCCATCTCTGGTTCAGAGGCTGATGTGGAGTGCCCCGTCATTGTTAACGTTCGCCAGCTGCTCCCGTACATTTTGCCGTATTTAGCACAGTCTATACTAGTGCGGTGGCGGAGCGGTTAGTGCGCTCGAAGGAGGGGTAGGGGGCTTTGTGTCTAAAAGTTTGATCTGTTGTTGATGTTAGAACATCACAGGGTAGGAAAGGTCATCACCGATCCAACTCATCCTCTTTATTTTTGCGTGGGGGAGGAAGGGGAGGGGGGTTGCTTTCTCTTTTGTCGGTATAATTATTACTATGCTTTTGTTTTTGTTCTATTTTGGGTTTTCCCCCCCCCTCTTGTTCTGTATTTTGGACTATGCGTTGTACATAGATACCTGGATACCTGGAGGTGCCATCTCTGGTTCAGAGGCTGATGTGGAGTGCCCCGTCATTGTTAACGTTCGCCAGCTGCTCCCGTACATTTTGCCGTATTTAGCACAGTCTATACTAGTGCGGTGGCGGAGCGGTTAGTGCGCTAGTCTCCAAAGCGGAAAGTTCGGGTTCGAGCCTTGGTTCTGACACGAGATTTTTTCGCCCCCTTCTGCCCACTCAGGAGTAATGGGTACCTGACTTCGAGTTGGGGAAGTAAAAGCGGCGTGGAAAGGAACTGGCCACCCTACCATAATGTGTCGAAGGCCCACGAAGTTGTCTCACTCTCAAGGCAATCCCCAACGTCCGGATCGGATGCGGGAACAACTTAACTTTACTGTTATACTTTGATGTTGTCAATCCACATTATTCTTTGGTCACCCTTAGCCACTGTGCTCTACATCTTACCTTCGAGTATGTCCTTCTTTTACCGATCGACTGTTAGAGCACTTCAAAGGCGAAGCACTCAGCTCAAGGGTTAGCGTGAAGTAGGTTGTAAGTAGGTTGTGAGGTAGGCAGGTAGGTTGGTAAGTTGATATGTATGTAGATAGGTAGGTAGAAAGGTAGGTAGGTAGATATTAGGTAAGGAAGTAGGTAGGTAGGTAGGTAGATATTAGGTAAGGAAGTAGGTAGGTAGGTAGGTAGATATTAGGTAAGGAAGTAGGTAGGTAGGTAGGTAGATATTAGGTAAGGAAGTAGGTAGGTAGGTAGGTAGGTAGGTAGGTAGGAAGGGAGGGAGGTACGGAGGTAGGGTTAAGGTTATTTGGTTTAATTAATGTGTATATTTGTTTGGTTATAGAGAAAACTCTCCGTGTCTTTTAAAGAAACTGAACAAGGGTCCAGAAACTTTACCTTCTATTGTCTTAAATCAAATACATAAATTTAATGGCCCTCTTGATGGGATTTTTTGGGGCAAAGTTTCGTTGAAGTTGATCCAAACAGGACTGAGTTATCTCCCTTAACTGG